GCCCGCGGCCCCGCCCCCTGGGCCCCGCCAGGCGCGCCGCGGGCGCACGTGACGGACAAATCTCCGTGAGCCGCTCGTGCGTGCTGGTTCCGCGCCGGTCCTGACTGTGACCAATCCCAGGCGTCGACAGCTGCATGGCGAAACACGGTTGGATATTCGCGGCGTGGAGGGGCGGGAGCTGCAAGGGACGCTGCGTTCCCATTGGCCTTTAATAGCGAACCTTGGGTGTTGCGGAGCTTGGGCCGTGGTGACCGTGTTTAGCTGTTTCGTTTGGAGGACGCTTTGTGTTCGGAGGCTGTGGCTGTCCGGCTACCGGAAGTCCCCAGGGCTTTTTGAGTCATGACTTTGTCTTGTAAAGTGTGATTTGCACCAGAACGGGGGAAGCAGTGGGTCACTTGTGGCGCTGGGAGCCCGCGTGCTGTTTCCAGCCGGCATGAACCGAGTGTCTGTTGCCTGCCCGGCCTAAAAGGTGCCTAACTTCCCCGGTTGTACCAGTTAGAGTAGCTGCTGCTCCGCGCGCTCACAGGCGTCGTCGCCCTTCCCCGCGATGGTTCGGTGCAGTGGAAGGAATCCTGAGCAAGGGTAAGTGGGTTTGACTTTAGCCCCAGCTTGTGAACACCCTAGTGTGCAGACGTGGTCAAAAACACGGGAAGCGTTTAAAGGCTTTACATTTTATTACAGTAAAAGCCACCTCATCATCTTGCCATTTTCTGAAGCAGTTTTGGAAGCTCTGATTCGTAAGTCACACTGTCACGACTGCCTCAATGCCCCGAGTGGCTTCAACATGTTCACGTTTCATGGTCATTCTGATTTGCGGCAAGGGCCAAAAGTTGCCAGGTGCCAGATGCGGTGAGCAAGGTGGAGGAAAACGCACGATCATTTTTACAAGCCTGCCTTTCTGCTAGACCGTACTAGGAAGCAATATTCACCTTGTTTTTGATCATACCTCATAAAGATAGGCATGAAAGATGACACCCAGACCTGCTTCAAAAAGTAGCAAGAACAATGGGATAAGAGCATGGGAAACAGGTTGAGTCTTCTGAGAATGATTAATGGCCGTATGTCTTCTGTAATAAACTTAAGATTCAAGCATTCACGGTATGCTTTGATCACCTCTTGTTAAATTACACTGGTACTGTATTATTTGGAGCAGTTCTTTAATATGTCAGTGCCAGTTTTGCTGTTTCCTCATTGGGAATAAGAGTTTCTTTTTATCTGAATAGTGGCTGAATTAAACTTTTATTTTACCAAATGTCAACACACGAAAGTAAGCATGAAAGTGGATCACAGTTAACACTTTCTAAAAAATTCAACATACGATTGTTTTACTTCTGTGTATAAGTAAAATAACACATTAAAAAATAAAACGAGTATTCATGGAATATTGCCTTTTTGTTTAGCACTGTCCTGTTTGCTATAATAAGATGAGATATGTGGAGTTGAACTAATATTTGATGAGCTCTTACATATGACAAGGGCTTTATGTATATTATTTAACAGTTACAATAACCCAGTGAAGAGGCTTCCAAGCATTTAGTGCAGATTGCTATAGAATTTATCTGAGCACTCATACGAACTACCTGGAATCAACAGTGCAACCAAATTTAGTCATTAAAGATTATTTTCCAGAACTGGAAGAGTGAAGCCAGAGGTGAACTGCAATAGAAGTATCTGCCTACATTTTTATCCAGATGTGTTGATTTTCCTCAAATTTGGAATGACCCAAAGAACATTAGGTAAATCACTTCACATTACCTAGCCTAGTGCCTTCTAGATAACGTACGAGTGAAGACAAACTGCCATGCTAAAAGCACAGGGGGAATATCAAACGAATTGCTTCTCCCTCCAGGTCATCTCCACAATCTTATAGAGAACTTTCAAATCTGAAAAGGTCGCTACCTGTCTTGAAACCACTCAGTGGCTTCCCCCAATTTCCAGAATAAATCCAAAGCCTGCCAGATGGCATAAGAAACCTTCAGGGATCTGAGGCCACCTGCCATTCCAGTCATTGGCCATCCCACTTGACACCTGCGCCTTTGCCATAGTTGATTGCTGGGCTAATTTACTGGTCCCATTTTTCACTCTGTGCATTTCCCCCTGCTGTTACCTCTGCCAAGAAAGTCTGCCCTCCTCATTACCTGCCGTGCATCCTTCACCTCGGTGTCACGTGCAAGTCCATACAGAATTCACGTCTTAAGTGAATGCTTCACCAAGAGATACCTTGGTGACCTTTATTATAGCACCTATTATATCATGTTGTAATTATTTACCTGTTTCTTTTACATCAGATTATGAAAACTTCCACATAAAGACTGACATTTATGTTATTTGTCTACAGTGACTATCGAGTTTGGTATATATTAAACTCTCAATAAATATTTACTGAATAAATAGATGGGGGCATCAGCCAGTCCATCTTAACCATCCATTTAGTCTTCCATAATCCCCTAATCTGGATTAGCTCTTCCTCCTGTGTGATCTCATAGCTTGTGGAACTTGACTTTGGTACTGTTAGCACACTGCGATCACTCACTTACTATGCAACAGTCGTTAGCCTGCTACACTGCTAGTCATCTTTACCCTCTGTTATGACTTGTGTCTAGATGTCCCCCAAAACCTCATGCGGTCATGAGGTGGGTGGACTTTTCACAGGCAGCTGAATATAGAGTTTGTGATTGATTCATGGTTCAGTGCTGGGATTAAGGGTGTGAGTGCTACACCTACTCTAGGGCACACAGCCTGCATACAGTATAAAGGAGGGAAAGGTTGTTCTCCCCTCCTCTCTTACTAGTTTTGGTACCTTCCCTTGCCATGAAAAGTTGCTCCTCTGCTACACCACCCTGCCTTAAAGCCAACCAATTTATGGACTAAAACATCTACAAACTGTGAGCTAAATAAACCTTCCCTCCTTTAACTTGTAGGTGTTGGGTATTTTGTCTCAGCAACAAAAGAAAAGTAAAAAAGAAGTTAGTGCCAGAGAAGTGGGGTTGTTGTTGTGACTGTACCTGACTCTGTGGTTCAAGAGCCTTGGGACTGGCTTGTGAGAAGAGTTTGGAATGATTTGGAGATGATGGCTGAAAAAGTAGAGCTGGAAAAACTTACCTGCTCTGTATGGGAGATCCTGGTCCGAGCTCAGAAGACCAGAAGGCTGATAGAAATCTTGCCAGTAAAGACCAGGCTCAGCAGATTTCTGATGGGAAGAAATACTGAAGTGGCTGTTGGACTCCAGATAGTGTGTTATGGCTTGGCAGAAAGTTTGTCTGCATTTTGCTTGTGTCCAGAGACTGCCTGAGAATGCAATTAGGGGCAGCTGACCAGTTAATCTGGCAGAAGAAACTTCAAGGCAGTCTAATGTTGAGGCAGTGGCATGACTATTGTTGGGAGCTTTTAGTCAGATTTATGTTGAGAATCAAGAACAATGAGCCAAGAAGCATGATTTAAAACATTGTGAATTTGTCCAGAAAGGAAGCTCCAGGAAACCTGTGGACTGCAGAGATAGAGCAGAGGAGCTCTTGATTGCTGAGAAGGAACAGTACAATAGAAAAGATGGCTGAGGGCATCACAAGAAGTAGCAGGACTCCATTCTCTGCAGCCTCAAAACTGCAAAAGTGAAAGACTGCTTTGAGAACAAAGCCACAGACATCATGCTCCAGAATGGTGGCAGCATAGAGAATTTGTTCCTCAGAATTGGATTCAGAGTGTTCAGTGATCCAGGCACTTTACTGCCACACCTGAGAGAGAGAGAGAGAACCCAGGCTGCTGCTCCATCTAGCAGCAGACCTTGGCAACATGCGAATGGTGCTGATTTTAGGCACACACAGAATGGAAGAGTTGTGGGGTCAGGAAAGCTTCCACCCAGATTTCAGAAGGTCTGGGAGGCCAGGCAGTGTGCCCCTCAGAAGGCAGTGTGCAGAGTTGTGAGTATGAAGCCAAAGGTGCAGTGGAGACCCCAGAAGTTTGGAAAAGCCAGGAACATGGATCATCTGAGAAAAACTGCAAAGTGGGAACAGAGCAGGCCCAAGGGAGAAGCCGTGGGAGCTACTACCACAGGAAGTGCCACGGGGACAGAGCCACCCAAGCCCTTTGGAGTTAACATTTTGCCACAGATTGCTTTGGATGCTGGACATGATACTACAGGACTCAATGTTTTCCCTGCTGGATTTTGCACTTCCGTTGGTCCTATTCCATTGTGTCCCCCTATTTGTAACTTCTGGAATGTTTATCTTGTGTCACTGAATGTTAGAAGTGTTTAACTTTTCATTTATATAGGAGCTGACAGCTAAGAGTTTGCCTTAAATCTCAGAGGAGACTTGAGACTTGGACTTTGCAGCAATACCGAAACTATTAGGCCTTTGACAACTCTTAGAAATGGACTAAATGCATTTTGTGTAAAGGAATGTATGAGTCTTTGGGGGGGCCAGAGGTGGAATGTTATGGTTTGTGACTGAATGTCCCCCCAAAGCTTCATTCAGTCACAGGGTGGGAGTTGTAGGCTTTTCATAGGCTGCTGAATCTAGAGTTTGTGATTGTCTTGGGCCAGTGCTGGGATTGGGGTATGAGTGTTACACCCACTCTAGGGTAGCCTTGCATGCACTATAAGGGACAGAAAGGGGCTTGTTTTCCCCTCCTCTCTTGTTGTTTTTGGTATCTTCTGCTGCCATGAATGATTACCCCTCAGCCATACCACCCTGCCTTGGAGCCAGCCTATTATGGACTGAAACCACTACAAACTGTGAGCTGAATACACCTTTACCCCTTTCAATTTTGGGTATTTTGTCTTAGCAGTGAGTAAATTAAGACACCCTCCTATCCTTAGAACTAAATACAGTGCTAATAACAAAGGAACTACTTAGTGAATATTTGTTAAGTGAATAATTTCAGTGTTTTTAAATCCTTGGGTAAAATGGATTCTACCTCATAATGAAAATCCCCTTTCAACTTACTAAGTTGTAGACAGTTTAAACCATTTTGTTTACAAAAGACAAAATTAAAGAAAACACAACTTCAGGGATAGCCCACCCAGAGACAGAGCAGCTATTAGTACTGAGCAAATACCAAGACCCTGGAAATGCCCAATATTAACGGAATGTCCTAGCGGCCCAGGTTTAAAGTCATTTATGGTTTCGAAACAAATGGCAGAGACAAAATGATTAAGGACCCTTGAGTGGGCATTTCAGCACATGGACAGATAACTAGAAGACTGAAAGTTAATTTTTAAAACTTTCAAGAGATCAAAAAGAACTTCCCTTTTTCCTAAGGCTACAACTTGTATACAGCAGGCACTGGCCAGCGGAGCCTGCGTAGGAAATGCATTCATGTGGCTTGTGCCAGGCTTGGGCTGGAACTGTGCTATGCTAAACTTCCATTCTCAGCCAAATGTGGTAGGACAGAATAGAAGCCAGATGGTTACCGAGTTAGGGCTATGAGCTGGTCCAGTTTGTGCAGGATTTTTCTGATTTTAGTGCTGAAAGTTCTGTCCCTCAGTATTCCCTCAGTCCCAGGCAAGCCAGGATAACTGTTTGCCGCAGCACTTGCCTCTTCCAGTCTCTCAAATGAGTGGACAGTGAAGGCTAAATAAAAGAGACAAATGGAATGATTTTAGGGCTCCAGGAGGATCAAAACCCTCTCACAGAATTCAAGATTCTCCCAGGGCCAAAACAAGGAAGGGGAGTACTCAAGAAGGGTGGGAACCACTCAAGGACTTCTCCAAGTAAGGCTATGTGTTAATTTATGGGAGCTATGTTAACTCTAGGAAGGTCTCCACACAGGAATGAGATGCCTGAGGCTACATCCTTTATCTAGTTGAGGTTGGAGCCAGGTGTCCTAAGCTGTGACCTTTTCTTGTCCTTTGAGGCTTCACGGCTTCATCCGCCATTACAGGCCTCAGCGGTGACCAGTGACTCACAGAGGTTCACTTACTATGAGTCTGTTGCCCATTTCCAGACAAGGAACCTAGGCCTTGGACAGACTCACAAGAAAACATGAAAAGCCAATTGGTTAATGGAAGTCCTGCCCAGAGCTGCTTCAATAGTGGTCTCCATCAGTTGTCAAATTAAGCAACATTTTGTATGGCATCTCCTCCAGAGGCAACCCAAGAGCCAGCTGTTGAGTAGAGGGATGCTGAGAAGAAAGAAAACTCAAGGTTAGACAGTTAAAAATCCTGGAAGTATTGAAATAACACTGGATTAGTGAAATGGCCTACAATGAGTAGCTTTGGTCATTTTTTTAGGGCTCCAATTTCCTTTTCCTTGGGATCACTCTTGTTCCGAGCGGAGGTGGTGGTCAGGATATAAGGTGCCTGTGATTCATCTTTCTCAATAATCGGTTTTAAGTGATCTTTTTCTGTTCAAATCATTTGACAGGAGAGATCTTTGCACCCCTGCAAAGATTAAAGGAAATGATTCATGTGGTTTGAGTACAGAAGTCTACTGCCATCTTAAAAATTAGATTAAACTGGAGAATTGGCTTCCAAGAAGGAGTAGCCACTGTCACAAGTACGTGTCGTGATCTTGGGGGCTGTAGGAGGGTGCAATGGCAGGGTACTTCTGACTGTTCCAACTTTAGGCACCCACTGTGAGCAACACCTGGGTACTCGCTATAAGGGGAGACATCTTTTCTACTCTGTGTGCTTACAGTGCCCTGTGGTACAGCTGACATCAAATAAAGCCTCAGGCCACTGCCCTGGAGAAGGCAGCCTAGGACAGAACTGAATGACTTCCTGGCTTTCCCCATCAAAGTTGACATTTGTCTGAATCCAGGGCTTGCTACACAGGAAAGAATTGCGAATTAATGGTAGAACTCTTGATTTTTTTTTTTTTATAGCCTTATGTATAGCGATTGTTACAACTGCTATAATTTACATTAAAATACTAGTCTTGGGTGCTGGGGATTTAGCTCAGCAGCACAGCACCTGCCTGGCAAGCGCAAAGTCATGAGTTTGATTCCTGGTACTGGGAAAAAAAACTAATAAAAAATAAAAAATAAAATAAATGAAAATAAAATACTACTCTTGAACAGTAGCACATAGTGTGAGAGTTGTCATCAACACCAAAGGTGTTGAAATTCCTTAATTAGGAATGCATGAGTAGGTAGCATTTGAAAGACTTATCAAATGCTTATCTGAAGGCTTTATCTTGATTTTTTTTTTTTAAATTAAATCAGGGCCAAAAGTTGTGTTAAATGGGATAGGGGGTTTGGGAATGAATTTTTAAAAAACTTTTGGTGAAATGAAGGTGAGGTGTGTTCATTGGCTAGACACAGTGTAGTATTAACTAAATTGGGACTCTAGTTGACAGTAACTTATACAACCCCCAAAAGGAAAGTCTGACCAGTTGTTGAAGCAGTAGTTTTAAATTATTAATAAAATAAAGACCAAGAAGATTAATAAATCATTATGTGTTTATTTCACAGAGTTGATTTTCTTATCTATTTCAGCAGTTACTAGTTAGGTTATGGTCATCAAAATTGTCACATAATCTGTGTTTTGTTGATATTGATAAAAATATTAAAAATTTGGTTGTATTCAAAGCATAGCTGCATTTAAAAATCAAATTTGAATGTTTCTAAAGTGTTACTAAAATAAAACGTTGCCGGACATGGTGGCGCACATCCGTAACCCCACCACTCAGCTGAGACAGGAGGGTCATTGCGAGTTTGAGACCAGCCTGGACTACAAAATGAGCTCAAGGCCAGCCTGAGCTATATAGAAAGACCCTGTCTCAAAAAGACGAAAAAAATAAAATAAAAGGTTAAGCATTGAAAAATTAAAGTTATGTTCATGTTTTTAATTTATAAAATAATTGATGTGTCGTAAAATTAAATGTAAATTCAAATTTCAAAATTTAAGTCAGTGTACTCTCTTCAGCAGCACATATACCAAAATTTAAGTCAAAATTATGCACATAAATTTTAACATTTTAAAAGAAATGTTTCAAAAATAAAATCAAATTGCGTTCAGTGTTCAGCAAAGTAAACTTTCTTTGTTCTGCAGCAGCTTCTGCCTCTGATGTGGCGACCTTGTGTTTTAGGGCAAGGAGACGTTTTCTCAGGGCCCAGGGAACCTTTTCCTAGAGTGGTGTCCAGAGTTGTGTGACGCCAGACCTGAGGACTGGATCTCAGGTGACAGAAGGGCCTGTTTGCTCCTTTATAATTTGTTTATGTGTTTATGATATTGAACGCTCTCTGAAGTCCTAAGTTCAATGCAGAGAGCTGGTTCTAGAGTATGAGGGAAATACGACTAGATTTTGCAAACCGATTCTATCTCCGAAGTCCGCTGAGACCTGCTGCTGGCATATTATAACCTCTTTTGTGAGTGCACCCTAGCGGGCTGGGAGAGCAGAGTGAATGACTTTCTGTGCCTTTTTGCGAAGACAGCTGTGTGTGCGTGGCAGGATTCCAACTGAGACTCTTGGGAAGGTTGTGGAAAGGGAACATCCCAACTTCCACCTCAAATAACCCAATTGTTATAAGTAAGCAAATTGGTTTAGAGTAGTTCTCTCTCTTTTTTTTGGAGGGTGGAGTGGGGTACCAGGGATCAAACTCCATACATCACACTTGCCAGGCAGGTGTTGCACCACTGAGCTAAATCTCCAGCACTACGTTAGTTCTCAAAGCAAAAATGTGGCAAAATATTCTACACTGGTGCAACTACGATTTCAGTTAGGTGGTAAACTGAACTTCAGTGCGGGGCTGTAGGCTCAGGGAAGGTGACCTTGCCCACACTAGTGGTTAAGGATAAATCCCAAGGTGCATTAGCAGCTACTCACGGCTGATGAAGCCAGCTGGCATCACTGCGCCCAGCTAAATTTTTACACTTACTTTTAATACCGGCAAGACGTACATAATGCAGATTTACTCTGCTGACGCTCTGCGAGAGTATGGCTCACTAGGGCTAAGGACTTTCTCAGTGCTGTGCAGCCGGTCTCCAAAGCTCCTTGCACTTTGCAAATCTGAAACTCTGTCAGCACTCAGGAAACAACCAACTGCAGCCCCTGGCGACCAGCACGTTATCTGTCTGCATGAGTCTGACGGTTGTGAATCCCTCCTCGGCATGGCCCTGCACAGCACTTGTCGTCCTGTGAGCAGCTCCTTCACCTCCCACAGGGCCCTCAGGGTTTCTCAGCGTTGTAGCAGGTGTCACAGTCTCCTTCCCTTGTAAAGTGGAATAACATCCCTTGGTGCGTGCATATATTTTGCTTATTTATTCCCTGTCAGTGAAAACTACTTGCTTCCACATTGTGGCTAGTGTGAATAATGCTGCTGAGGACAGTGGTGCTCTACCTATTTGACATGTTTCATTTTTCTCTCCTGACAGCACATGGTGGAATTCCTTTCTGATCAACAGGCGCAGCTATCATTTCCTCCTCTTGTGATCTGCGGTATTCCATGGCGTGCAGACAGCGGGGTATATGCAACCATTCTGCTGCTGTTGAGCATCCACTTTGTTTCAAAGCTTGTACTTATTTTTTACTCTTGAAAGATGCTTCAAATAAAAAAGTTCTAAACATGAATCCTTAAATGCTGCTGCTTTGATTTCTCTGGATTAGTGAATTCAGACTTTCATGTATACTTTGCATAGCAAATCTATACTTTCCATTACTGGGCCAGCGTATGAAAAGAGAATCCTGATGATAAACGTGTTCCACATCAGCGCCAGCAGAATGCTATTGTGTACATGTCCGTGGCTGTGACGCTCCTAGCAACCAGAAATGTCATCATCATGCTTCTATGGCAATAGCAAATGTTTTAGCCTGACAAAGGAATCTCATATTTGGTGCTCAGGGAGATTTCACCACTGCACAGAAATGAAAGGAACTACCTCTGTTCTTTTCATATTTTTATAACATATTAATGCAATGCCAGAAAAGTAAATTTTATTGTGATTTTGGGGGCATTGATGGTTTAAGATATATTCTATGGTGCTTTTGGACCATTTTTTTCTCTTTTATTTTTCACTAAATTGATTTGTAATTGTCAGTAACTATCTAGTCCTACTAGGCTGTGAGAAAAGAAAAAGAGCTAGTATTTATGGAGACATTAATGGAAATTGAGATCCAGAGAAGTTTGATCATATTCTCACCAGTTTGCAGTTAATATGTTTATGTATATGTTGGTTTGGTTCAGAACTTTTCTGTAGAGACTAGTTGAAAATAAAGAATCTGTTGTCATCTATACAGGAATGTCCAATAAAATTGTTTTCTTCTGTGATGACTGTTTTGATGGTTTTTAAAATACCAAAATCTGCGGCAAACGACATTCTTCCCTTTTACACAAACAAAAACATGTTTGCTTCTCCTGCTTTGCCTACAGCTTAGTTGGTAACTGAATACTCCAGCCCGAGTCTTGTTCTGACCACGTAGGTCACTTGGATCTTGATGCTGGGTGTTCTGTGCTTATTCGTGCCCCCTCACAATTCTTCTGTTGAAATTGTGACACACCCTTGGTACCTTGGAATGTGACTGCATTTGGAGGTAAGACCTCTGAGATATAGTCAAGGTAGACAAGGTGCTCCAGGTGGACCTAATCCAGTGTGCCTAGCATCTTCAGAAGAAGGAACAGGGAGCAGGTACCACAGCCTGGAGGGGTGATGGTGTGAGGGTACAGGGAGAGGGCCGCTGTTTGCCAGCCAAGAAGTTGCCCCAGACTGGCCAGGGCCTTGATCTTGGGCTTCTGGCCTCTGGGATTATGAGAAAATGAATTTCTGTTGTTTAAGCCACTGACACTGTGGTATTTTTTTATTATATTAGGACATCCTCGCACCCCAGTCCACTAGGTGAGCAATGTTGCAGCTTAAATATTTCTTAGCCTCTTGTGCTGATTATCAGTGCTGGCCCAGGCTGAGCAGTTCACCATCCGCTCGAGATGCTGAGACTGAATCTGAGGGCCGCCCACTCCCATTGCGCCCAAAGCCATGCTGCTTCTCCTCACCCTGGTTCTACCTGCCTGTCTCTGCCCCTCGCACAGTTAGGACAGGAAGCCCCACAGGTGGGACTGCTCATGGGTGCTCTGGAGGAGGCTCCTGACCTCCACACATAGGCGCACCGCCAGCTGATAACCTGGGATGGACTCAACAGACATTTCAGGCTCTTGTGTACAATGAGCAAAAAATTGCAAGTGCACATCCAATGATAAAAGAAAAGCAGCCACATTTGTTGAAGATAAAGGGAAAACTTGCTCAGGATAGGTCTATGCCAAGAAAAATGTGGCACAAACAGAGAAACGGGGCTGAGATGGCCGAGAAGTAGAAAGCACACACATAGATAAAATCAGGCTTTTGGAATTTTTTAAGGAAGGGCCCAAGTCCTAGTCCTTTTCTTTGGGTTTCTAAGGAGGACTGACAGGCATGACTAACAGAATGCTGAGTCATCCTGAGCTAGGGGCTTTCTAGTGCGCTGTTCCAGAGCCCTGATTGAGTTACACGGAACAGTGGGAGCAGGGTGGCCCGGGGGTGTTGCCCAAACTCTACTGGGGAGAGGGGAGTAGTCTCCCAGCCCCCAATGTCCTTCCTGCACTATCACCCACTGAGAGTCCTGGTCCCCCAAAATCTTCAAAGAGTGTTATGGTTTGTGTCTAGATGTCCCCCTTAAGCCTCAAGCACTTTTATGTGGGCTTTTTCAGAGGCAGCTGAACCTAGAGTTCATTATTGATTCATGGTCCAATGCTAGGATGAAGGGTCTGGGATTAAGGGTGGGAGACTGCTGGATCAGTCCACTGATTGGACTGGCACCGCCCTAATCCCAGCAGTCTGGATAAGATAAAAGGGACAGAAAGAGGCTTGCTCTTCCCCTTTCTGCTCTTGCTTGTTGCTTTTGCTATTTCCTGCCAACATGAACTTCTGCTGTTGCCCCTCTGCCATGTGCCACCCTGCCCTGGAGTCCGCTGATTATGGACTGAAGCCTCCACACTCTGTGAGCTAAATAAATCGTTGCTCCTTTAGCATCAGGTTTTTTGTCTCAGCAATGAGAAAAAAGTAATTAAGACAAGGGTTGCTGAAGGAGGAAGGTTTGTCTTTCATGGCCGCTTCTGCTCAGTGGGGACATTGGCCCTACCCCCTTGAGGACCAAGGAACTCTTTCCCTGTCTAATCTAAGAGTTCAAGGGAGATGTGTTTCTCCTCAAACGATTTCTTGGTGAGCTGTGGACATGGAGGTGGGTTTTGATCTTGGGCTTGGGCCATCACCAGTAGTTTAATGGCTGGTAAACAAGAAGAAACAAATTTGATTAAGAGATTAAGCATGCAAGATCTAAAGAGTCAGGTTATGAGAAGCATTAATAAGGGCCATGTCTAGGACAGTAATCAAGATCCCAACTCCAGACTTGGCCAAGACATCCATGCCTTAGTTCTTCACAGATCTTGGGAGCACAGTAAGCCAGCTTCTGTGCTGTCTCTCACTAGTTCAGACTGACCGACATAGGAACTGCATTCTTCTTTCAGAGACAAACATAACCCCTCTGTTTCAGTGGTTACGCGATCTTGTCCCAACGATGTTGTAGGGCCACTGCTGCCGGTGACTCTGCTTGATCTTAAAGGACAGCAATACTCTGGTCAAGTTTGCCCAGGCTGTCTGCCAAGTTCCTAGGCAGCTATTGATGATGGGGAAAAAGGTGAGGCTCACTTTAAGGTTTTGTGCAAAAAAAAAAAAAAAAAAAAAAAATCACTGTTTATTGTCTCTGTTAGAGCCAAGAGAAATAGGAAAAAGCCAGCAGAGGTTTGGTTGTAACTTGGGATGGGAAGCACAGTGTAGTAAATAAGAGAATAGTAAGACTGGCTACACAATTTGCTTAGAGAAAACAAAACATCTTACTTATGTGGCTCCACAGGTTTGTTGGTGTTTTCTGAAACGAAACGTGAGGTCCTCCACCGGCCCACAGGTGTCCCAGGTTTGTGGTCTCTCTCTTTTATTTTCTGGTGTCTCAGGTGACTCGGGTTTCACCCTGGGGAGCTGAATCCAACTAACTATTCCCAGTACCTTAGTGGCACAGGGAGTGGTTACAAGGGTTGTGTAAGGGCCCTTCCATTTGGGTGAGAGCTGGCCCTGGGGCACACCTTCCTCCCAGGCCTTCATTAGCACCTGGTCACTGGGTGGACTTCAGGATGGCTATTATTGTTAGTCTCTGAGGGTGGAAGAATCTTACTTCTATATTGGAGGGGGCATTGGAAAGTTCTCAGGTCACTTTTTGTTGAGAAATCTGGGCCTTATAATGGGACACCCAATAACATTTTTACTAGAAATTTAGAATCTTAGCAGTACTTTTGTCAGATAACTCCTTGATGGGGCTACCCATGGTGAGGTTCTACATACTGTAGTAGGCCTGCATTTTAAAACTTTTAGGTCTCTTAGGTCATGAGCTACAAGTCACAGCTATCTCTGAAACCCTGGGGCAAGTCAGTCCAAGAATAGGAGTATCTGAGTATACTGTTGGAAAGCCCTGCTAGGGGATCTTCCAGTCAAAGGCAAACACGTATTGGGAGTTAGGACCCACAGGCATAGAGAAGAAGGCATCTTTGAGAGCCAGGACAGAGCCCTTCAGTGTCTCCCGGGCTCTGTGCTGAAAGGGTGTGGTGAATGTGTGAATGGGCGCCACTGCCTCACAGAAGGCGCTGAAGTTTTGTACCAGGCGAAATTCTCGTGATGGCTTGACTACTGGTAAATGGGTGTATCGCATGGGGACTGGCATGGCACCAGCAACCCTGTAACCAAAAATTTAATAATAATGGGCTTTAGCCCCTGTGTATCTTCTGTTTTAAGTTAATGCTACCTTCTGTGAGGATATAGATAAGGGTCCTTAGCTACATGACCACTGGAGTGGCCTTGACAGTCTTCTCTGGGGCACCATCACACCACACTTAAGGATCAACTCCAAACAGAGACATCAGGCCCTCAGGGGCCAGGCTGGCTGGGTCCCTATCAACTAGGACATGCATGGCCAGAGGTTTGGATCAGGAAGAGTATATCTCTTCCACTTACTGCTATGGGGTATTCTAGTATCAGCATAAAGGTAGCTAAGAAAAGGACATCTTCCAATAGGCAGTTCAGAGCAGGGATAAAGAAATCTGTCAGTTAATTCCTTCAAGGTCAACAATAACTTTGGAATGGGATGAAAGCTCACTGCAAGAAGAAATTAGGATTGAATAAGTCACTCCCGTATCACAGGGAAATATTTATTTGTGTGCTACTTCTAGAGCTGCCCGAGGCTCCTGTGAGGTGCTTGGAATACCCTTGTGTGGGAGCCACGTACGGCGCCTGAGGCACCGTCACTCACCCTGAGCGTTCCTCCCCAGCCCCCATGGTGGCAGATGACCTCAGCCCTCTCTGGAAATGAGGGCAGTCTAAGGGACAGTCCCCCCTCCTCCAGTGCAAAGGTCTTTCTCCGTGTTCTGACAGGCCTGGCCAGGGTTTGGTGGCTTTAGAGGGCATGCCTTTGCCCAGTGCCCCAGTTGCTTGCACCTGAGCACTGACTTGCTTCTGTCACCCTTTGGGTCATCTTGGTTTCTCTTAGTGCTGTGGGCTTGCTCCTGGGCCTTATCCCCAGGGAAGGCATGAGTTTATGCCCCTCCTTTTCCTTATTCCACTCATTCGTCCTCTGCTTCATCTCAGTTATTAAAACTTGAACAAGCCGTGTTAACTGAGTGACTTGTCCCTGCCTGTGGACCCTGCTGGAGTTTCTGGAGCTTTCTCCTGTGTCTAGAGCTGACTGACTAGTAAAGTACTGTCCCAGGGCAACCTGACATTCCCTGAATGCCACAGCTAAATTAGTGAGTGTATTCACAGGGTGCTTCTTCAAGCCAGAGTTGGAAAGCGGCTGGGTTTCCATGGGAGCCTTGACGGATAGAGCTGAACGTATTGTGGTCACAGGTCGGGCACCCTCGTGGCAGACCCAGTGAGATGGCTGAGATGGCCAAAATACTGATTTGGTTTCTCCAGGGCCCGTTATAATCCCACTTGGACCCCTTTTGGGGTCCCAATAATGTGTCAGTTGGCCGATTATCAGTGGGTGCAGCCATGAAATCTCCATCGTTAGCTAGGTTTTCAGCTTTTATAATCCTTTTTCTTTCTACTACTGTACAAAAAAAAAAAAAAACAAAAAACAAAAAACAAAACAACAACAAACCAGCCTAAGCTGGACAGCTCAGAAGATGAGATAAAAGGCCATTCTTTAGGCATGGAAACCGTCAGAATATTTTCAGAATTACCAGAAAATCCACCC